CCCCGCCCAGCAGGGAGCCCAATGCGGGACTCGATCCCAGGACCCTGGAATCACGACCCAAGCCGAAGGCAGACGCCCAACTATCTGAGCCACCCAGGCACTGGACATTTCAAATTCTGTCCAATATCCCCAATATACAATTTCGTTCAAACACCTTTACATACTCATCATATTGGTCTCTTAGGATAAATTCCTAAAAGCAGAATTGTTAGGCAAAAGGCAGGTATACCTTACATCTTGACAGACATTGCCAACCAGCCCTCTGGAAAGGCCAGACTCTTTCACACACCCACCAGGCTTTCTTAGAGTTTGTGCCAGACTTGCCAACAGTCCGCCCCTCTCCTCTCACAACGTCCGCTCCTTCCACGTGGCTTGTTTCCACAGCAGGATAGTGCTTAGGTGCAAGGGTTTACTTCCATCTGCTTCCTTCATCTCTCCCATGGCTACACTGCTTAAACTTCAAGCACTTCTCTTTTAGATTTCTTCCCTTCCCCCATTTCAACTTTTTTTCTAAGTCTGATTCACAATTCAAATAACCTGGAATGAAATTCTCATAGTTGCCAAAAAAGATACACAGAAGTAAAAGTGCCTTAAATTATTCTTGGAGAGATATGGAATATAAAAAAGGAAGGAAGGAAGGAAGGAAGGAAGGAAGGAAGGAAGGGAGGGAGGGAGGAAGGAAGGAAAAAAATTCACTATCTAGACCTGTTATGTGAAGAAAACTGACATTTTGAGATACTGATTCTTTAGGCCTACCATACAATCTCTGTGCACAAATATTTCTATAGGAGGTTGCAATCTGAAAGGGTTTTCATTCAGTTATGAAACTGAGTACTTACCATGTGCAGACACTGTGCTCCAGGCTTTGGGGAGACAAAGAAGGTAAGACACACCTGTAAGAAGCTCCCATTCTATGGGGGAGATAGAGGTGTAAACTAATATTTTTTAGAGAAGTGTACATACTTTGATGCCAGGTGACAAGTGTTGTGGTAAAGGTACGCCCCAAGTGCTACATAAGCAGAGTGGGTTGGTTTGGCTGGGCAGAAGCGAAGAAAGCTTAAAGGAAAGATGGCATTTATGTGTGGCCTTGAGGGATGAATGGTTTGTCAGGTGAAAAAGGACATTGCAGGAGCACAATTAAGGAGGTGCACAATGGTTAACCTTAGCAGCCATATAAGGATAGGGAACTGACAGAAGATGAGGCTGAAAAGATAAAATGAGGCCAGACTGTGCTGGAGTTGGCTCTCCATGCTAAGGGACTTTATCTCAGCAATGAAGAGTTCCCATAAGTTTTTCAGCAGGGAAGCATCATAATCAGAGCAGAATTTTAGAGAAAGAACCGTAGTTGCGGGGAAGAGGAGGGACTGAGGTGGAGACCAGTTACAAAGGCCCTGTCTAGCCAAGGAATGGTAAAGACTTATACCTAGACCATGCTGAAAACTGGAGGGATCCGAGAAATGGGATTTACTGGGATTAAGAGTACACTTATCATGACGCGCACCAAGTAATGTATAGAATTGTTGAATCATTATATTGTACATCTGAAAGGAACACATTACTATAGGTTAATTATACTTGAATTAAAGATAAGTAAATACATAGCTTGGGGGCGGCGGAGAAATGGGATTTACTGGGGCACCTGGGTGGCTCAGATGGTTAAGTGTCTGCCTTTGCTCAGGTCGTGATCCCAGTGGCCTGGGACTGAGCCCTGTGTCGGGCTCCGTGCTCAGTGGGGAGTCTGCTTTTCCCTCTCCCTCTGCCCATGCGCCCTGCTTGTGTGCTCTCTCTCTCTCTAATAAATAAATAAAATCTTAGGGAAAAAAAGAAATAAAAAAAGAAATGGGATTTACTAACTCACTGGACAGAGAAATTCTTTTTTAAAGATTTTATTTATTTATTTGAGAGAGAGAGTAAGAGCATGGGGAATGACAGAGGGCGAGGGAGAAGCAGGCTCCCCACTGAGCTGGGAGCCCGAGGTGGTGCTCTATCCCAGGACCATGGGCTCCCGACCTAAAATGAAGGCAGACACCCAACTGACTGAGCCACCCAGGCGCCCCAGGACAGAGAAATTAAAAAAAAAAAAAAGGTGGGGACCAAGAGAACGCAAATGCTTTCACTTAAATACTGACTGTATGGTAATACCATTGATGGAGATAGAGTCTATAAGCCCAGAAGAAGATGTGGAGAAAAATATTCATTTCCACGTTGGACCTGTTGAGTTTAAAGGACCTAAGAGACATCTAGGAAAAGATTCCCAACAGAGAGCTGGCATTGAGGCTGGTGCCTAGTTCCAGCAGACGCTCTGTTCATTTTTTTACAAATCGCCTAGATTTGACAGTCATTGAGGTAGATAAATTAGATTGGTCACAACAAAGAGAGAAAGCAGGGATGAAAGTTTAGGACAAAATCCTGGGGAACAATAATATTTAGAAACCTAACAGAGAGCCTAGTGAAAGTCTGGGAAAATCAGAGAGGTAGAACACAAGCCAGGCTCATAAAAGTGACCAGAGTATAAAGGAGAAAGTATGCCCCACTTACTTGCATTCCCCATCCCTTCCCATACAAAGGATCCTGTGTAATGCCTTCAGGAGCTGGAAGAAGGATTCCTATAAGTGGGGTTGGGAGTGAGAGACTAAGCAAGGAAGAGTTCCTGGGGCCTGACAGTAGGCATTATGTGCTATGATCTAGGATTTCCTGCCAGTGCTAATACCAGGGAATACTTTCATCTCTAAAAGGCTGTTGTTACCTTATCTCTTGCTTTCAACAGATTGGTATGTCCTTTCTCCTTTCCAATGTCACTACTCACCGTTTCTACCCATCCCTTAGTCCATGATGGCAGAGAGCAAGTCTTAACAGCCTCTCAATTCAGTATGTTTAGTAAGTATAACTTTGAGCCAGTTACTACGCTTGTTAAACTGGACAGATAAAACATAGCTCCTGCTGAACAAGAATTAACAGGAGTGGGGATGTTGAGAGGAGGTTTGTGACTATGGTCTATAGGGTATACAGTGACTAAAGCTACAGTGAGCTGCAGAGTCATGAAAGAAACCTCATGCCTTCTTAACGGGTTAAAAAAAATGTTTTCTGCCTATTTTCCAGGAAGGAAAGATGCACATAGATGCTGATGATAAACCCTGACACAGAAAGCCTTATAGTGAATTGATTTACATCAATTTAAGTGTGTGAAAAGGAAGAAGAGAGAGGACAGGAGCCTTCATGAATTTACCCTTCATTTTCCATCCTCGGGGCTTGGGGAGCAAGTGGTACAGGACAACCTGTCTGCATTTTAAAACTAGCTATGGATAGTCCATAAAGGTGACCTTTCCTGGTCACTAAATCTCTCCCTGATGACACATTTTCTGTCCCTTTTCTAGTCAGAAGATCCCTCTTTTAGTTGTTGCAGCACTGTGGTATATAATGGACTGGGTTATAGGAACCAATAACCTGACCTGGCTTCCCTATAGCAGTCTTTCCCAGGATTGTCTAAACCACCATTTGTCAAAATCAGAAGTCACCCCCCCAAAAAATTAATATGCTATTTCTGTAATCTGCGGGGATTATATACATACACATACACATATATGTGTATATATATAAAATATACGCGTGTGTGTGTGTGTTTTGGTTCCTCCTCTGCCTCGACTATCTCCCCAGATCCTCTTCACCATTACCTGTGGTACACAAAAAAAGCCTAAACACCATTATTTCTTGCCAAAAGAGGAAACAGAAAAGTAACTTGATTAATAAACAGAGTTTGGCCTGGAGCCCAGATCTTAAGAGATGTAAATTGGGGCTTTTTTCACAGGGCTGCATTCTCCTGTTGACTTCCCTCTAATAACCAACCGGCCCAAAATACTACTTACATCACCTTCTTCTTGCACATCTCTCCCTTCAAATCTTCCTGTGGCTCCTCTCAAAATCTGTGCGGCCTTAGTCATATTACTTAACCTCTCTGCCTCACTTTTCTCGTCTGCAAACCGGGAGTAACGCCTAACTCATTGGGTTTTATTTATTTCCTTTTCACAGTACAGTGTTCCTTTATTTACTTATGATCTTAGAATTCTAATTCCAAAAAATATGGAACGCTTTACGAATTTGCACATCATCCTTGCGCAGGGGCGACGCTAATCTCTGTATCGTTCCTATTTTAGTACAGGTGCTGCTGAAGCACGCACTAACTCATTGGGTTTTAAAAGGTAGCTAGCATATGTAAGGTGCTGACGCACTACAATGTACTTAAAAAGCACTTAATAAACGGTAGCTGTTTACTATGAAAATATTTATCACACAGGACTGCTGTTCCTATGTGCCTGACACCTAAGCAGTCCCTCAAAATATGTTAGTTCCCCTCTTTCCCAATCCTTGAAACAACTTCCTATTCTTTCTAACCAAGATTCAGAACAAATCTAACAAGGATTTCCCTAATTTACCTGCAAAAGTATCTGCACATTTACTAAAGTCTCACCATTCACGCAAGGGTAACACCTACTGAGAGCTACCCGGGCATGATTTCTTCGCTTCTTCCCTTTAAGTCACTGTAACAGAATAATCACATGTTGCAAGTTTCCCAAAAGACGTATTGTATCATGCCAATAGATACAACAAAACAATCGCTGTCTCTGTGGCAACTGGGTATCCCGGCGCGTTCCCGAGTTACCGTAGGTTCATCGCTCCGCAGCCAAAATAAGTAAGTTTGCTACACTAATCATACAACCGATGGGGGAAGAAAACTTCAGACAACGTTCCATAAACCTCAAGGAGTGACTGCGAATAGATGCCACGCAGTGACGCGGTCCAGGCAAATGACGAGTGAATAAATGTGTCGTGTTCCTGCTGCGTGTCCCTGTGTCAGCTTGTGTGTCTGCGTGTATCGGTAGAACTGAAAGTACATTCGTGTGCGCCGAAATGTTTGAGCGCGGGTGTGTAACCCCTTTGAACCCTGGTGCTTAGCGAGTGAGCTACCGTGCAAACCCCCGCGGTGCGGTTCTCCAGGAGCTTACCTCCGCGCACGAGCAGGTGGACGCCGCTGGGCGCCGCCATGTTAACGCCGATCACGTGGTCGCGGAGCATTCCTTTGCCTTCCCGCCCCGCCCCGCCCCGCCCTCTGGAACTGTCCAGTCGCAGCCCTGCCGAAGACTGGAGGCGCCGGGGCCGCCCCGGGGGAGCGCGCGTGCGCGCGGGGGGCTGACTGCGGGAGCCCCGGCAGCAAAGCGGCTCCGGCGCTGGGGCCAGCAGGGGAACCCGCGGCCCGCCGAGCCGGCTCCGGTCGCGAAAGGCGGGCTCCAGCCACGGTTCGCGCGCTCGCTCAGAGCCCCTGAGCCCAGGTGGGATGGAAGAAGCCTGTCAGGTAAGCGTGGCATCCAATATTTGTAGCATCAACATTTTGGTGCATGGAAACGTGAAGTTGGGAGGAAAAAATAAAGCACAATCTAGCGTTCAACATAGCACTTTGCATCGTCGGCCACTCTCTTGCAATTTCCCTGAATTGAGTTGAAAGGTAAAATTTGGTTCAAAGTCACCAGCTGCCCCTATGCTGTCCCAGAAATTACATTACTCAGCAGGGACTCCAGGTAAGACAGGAATCTGTGTGCAGCTGCAAAATCAATTCTGGATACCCCAGTGGGTCTGTTCCGGGGACTTCTCTTTCCCCAAGGACACTTCCCGCTCAATGGTATTAATTGGAGTCTTAATCGTAAATCTGACTTTTAAGAATGAGAGGATGGTGCTGCCGAAAGATGAAGCCTACAGAAGGCCAGTTATGAGACAAGTGAGGGTGCCGTTGTATCCCTAGTGATGATGGTGCCCGTTCTTACCAAATTCACTTTTCCTCTTAGCTGCATTTTGGGGCAGATTTCCATCCTGTCATAGACCAGGTGTTATTGATCTTAGTAGCCTGGTGCCAGGCAAAGAAGCTAGTATTTAAGGAATGTCTGGTGAAGGAATTGAACTCTCCATGGAACCAGTCAAACCAAGAATTTAACGGTTTCCCAGACTTTTGCAGTAAAGTCTGGTAAAGACTGATAAAGATTCTTGGTGGATGTGTGTGATGTTCCCTAATTAATTTTTAAGAATTTAAGTACACACTTGGTGAAACATCCGGACAATTCAGAAATGAATAAAGGAAAAAAGCCCAGGTCCCCTTCCTAACCCTCTCTGCGCACCACACTCCAGCTCTCCAGTCAGCCACTGTGTGCATCATTCTGTGCCTTTTACAGGCAAATATGTGTAAATATTTTAAATGGACTCACATACTGTTAGGACTTGCTTTTTGCACTCATTATAAACATCAAATCTTAGTTCAAACTCATTCTTTTTAATGACTACATAGTTTTGATATTTTTACTTTCAAAGAATGATTGTGGCAGTTCATTAGAGGACACATGCTATACTTCTTGGAGACCCAGTTTTGGATGCTTTTGGGTCACCTTGAAAGATAAAGAGAAATAATGTTTTCCACTGAGGTAAGTAAGATGTGCAAGGATGAGAATGAAAAGTACTCCCACAGGTTACTTCAAGCTCCACCTTTTTCTCAGATCAGTTCCAGAGAGAGGACTTTTGAATATGGTATATCTGCTCTGTTCCCCTGCTACTAGAAAGAAAAGGAAAAGGAAACACCATGTGGAATCAGGTGGCCCCATCATAGTGGGATCCAGTGAGGAAATGCCCAATAAGTTCGCCATAGAATGTGGGTATCTAGGATGAGCTAGAAATGACACAGATGGGAACTTGCGCAGGGTATGTAGCTCAACCGCTGACCTGATTTGGCTTATCTCATACTATATCCCTCTGACATTAAAAGAATTCAAAGTTGCCAGTATGTGTCCTCCAAAATCATCAGTTTATGAGATAAATGCCAACAAGATAAAAGGCTAGACCACCAACATCTGAGGTCCCTTGCAATTCTAGCATTCTGTGATCCTGGAGAGTCAGGGTATTAGAGTGCTTTCATTTAGATGAGTAACCACTACTGACTCACTTCTCTACTCCATTTCTGCCCATCTTCCCACCTGTAAAATGAAGGTTAATTATATTGTGGTGCTTTACTGATTTGAATTCCCACCAATATTCAGATTTTGCGCTTGGGATTCTTGAATAAAATGTTGAGTAGTTTTTCAAAACCAGAATTCAAGAAATAAAGGATAACTTCTTAATACCTTCAGTTTCTGTGTCCAAAAATTCATACTGTAATGTTAAAATATTTTTATTAATTGCGATTAATTATTGTTTTGTAGGTCTTTTACCTCAGTTTTTGCCTTTTACCTAAGTTCATGTCTTATTAGCACCTTTTAAAATCTTTTTATCCTCTTTTATAAAAGAAATAAATCAGAAATAAATTCTTATATTCATATTTTTGAAGTCAGTTTTTTCTTCTACTTAACAATATTTTATTATAGATTTATACTGTAACTTTTTCAAAAGTTGTATATAGTTTGTAATCAAATTTAAATTATATTGGTTTCTGTAACATATGTATTGAATTTGTAATTCAAATTCACATTTTTTAAATGCTCTAGGGGATTATGCAACATGAAGTAAATCTCTTTAAAAATAAATTTTGCTTTGTAAAACATCATCCTGTAACCTGTTTTACAAGTTTAGATTTTTATTTTATTTTTATTTTTATTTTTATTTTTTAAAAGATTTTTATTTATTTATTCATGAGAGACAGAAACAGAGAGAGAGAGGCAGAGGGAGAAGCAGGCTCCCAAGGAGCAGGGAGCCCGATGTGGGACTCAATCCCAGGACTCTGGGATCATGACCTGAGCCGAAGGCAGACGCTTAACCATCTGAGCCACCCAGGCGCCCCTACAAGTTTAGATTTTTAAATACTTATTAAGATTACCTATAATGCAAGATACTTAAAAACATAAACCATACTAAGATGCTTACATATCTATAGAAGAATATATGAACACATTGTAAAACTAACTGGAATAATGCAGTATTTCCTACTGGGCACAAAGCAGATTCTGTGGCCTGCTGAGGGAAACTGGTGCCCTAGGGCCTGCACAGCTTCAGCAAGACTGTCATCTAGCCTGAGATGCCTTCATTTGCCCTTCCTGACCTTGCTTCTCAATTTTGCTATATGAATCAGAAAAATTTGCCTTTTGATTTGATTTCAGGATCATTTCTTAGCATTTTACTCATGGCTTGTGAAGAGTATTTCCAATCTTGCCCTCTGACTTATCTGATTTTAGTCTGAGGAAATATTTTAATTTATTTACATTTTTTTAAGTCAAATGAACATTCTTTCCAGGAACTAGGAGTCCTGCATAAAAACATATCTGAACATACAACAGGGACCTGTCTCAGCAGCTCACTGGACCCCTGTAAAGTTAGGGTCCAGCTTCAAATGATTATATGTTCAGGTGGAAAATTTCTAAGGCACTCTTAACCAACTTGCTGGCAGGAGGTCATTTCCTATGCCAACATTTGAGACAACAATGGATATATTACTGAGTAGGGGTATCCTTAGAGAAAATGTGTAGATGCTTCATGTTTTTTGAGTTAGAGTAATACCATATCCAAGGCAGTTGTGAGAAATTAAGAGGATTTCTCCTTGCTGCATATGCCCTGTTTTCTTATTCTATAGCAGTGCCAACCCAGAAGGAACCAGGGGCAAGGGAGTGGGGACTTCACTTGTACATGACCCTCCTGTCCCTCCCATTTTTAATTTGTCTAATGATATTTTCTCAGTCGTATAAATCCTATGTAAATGAAACTTTAAGCTCCACCCCCTTCTAGGAACAATATTGTCCTACCTGGGCCCCTCCTACCCTGAAATTCAGAAAATTTCAGGAATCTATAACCATTTATAGGCCTGGTCCAAATGGGCTCAGCAAATAGCTTGCTGCATCTTCCCGAACAGTCTGTCAAGGTAAGCAGAGTAAAATGGGATCAGACAGGGCTAACTTAGCTGTAGGGTAAGATCAAAACATTGTCCCAAGGGAGTTGCTTTCAGGCCCAGTCTGGCCAGTATTAATTTCAAATTGTTTCCACCTCTTGGCTTGGAAGATATTGTGGGAGATTGTAAGCAGAAATAATGCTTCAGCATAATAGCCTATTCATTGCTGGAGCACGGAGTGGTGGCAAAAGCCAAGGGAAGGAGTGTATGGGAGGGCTATAGGGGAGGAGCATGAAGTCCCAGACCTCACTTACTGATGCATCCCAGTTTTCTGATAATACTTGTCTTGGTCAGATTTGGCTTTGGAACTGTGCAGGTTGAGGGAAGTGACCTCATCTCTTGGACTTGGCTCTGAGGGAAGTTGAGTTAAAGTGTTTAAAAAACACTAATTGGAAAGCTGAGACTAACATGCTCACAAGATTGTTCATAAAGAAGGACCAAATACCCTTGAGAGGATAAGCCCATTGGAACAACTCCAGGGGTGAAGGGTTACAGAGTCTGGCTATCCCTGGCTGCCAAGACCTGAGGAAAATGCTGAACGCTAATGAGATAAGGTTCCAGGAAATTAGAACCTGTTTAATACCTTCACTTCCTGCAAAGATGAAGGTGAGAGGAAGGGATATAATTCTTCCTTTAGCGTCCTAATCCACACTTGTGAAAGAGGAGAAAAGAAAATGTTCTTGATCTCCTTGTTGGAACTTTTTTTTTTTTTAAGATTTTATTGATTTGTTTGACACAGAGAGACACAGTGAGAGAGGGAACACAAACAGGGGGAGTGGGAAAGAGAGAAACAGGCTTCCCGCGGAGCAGGGAGCCCAACGTGGGGCTCGATCCCAGAACCCTGGGATCATGACCTGAGCTGAAGGCAGACACTTAATGACTGAGCCGCCCAGGCGCCCCCTTGTTGGAACTTTTTAAAAAAAGTCTGTTTGGGTTTTGTTTTGTTTTTTGTTTTCTGTTTACAGAAGTATGTATATGTGCTCTTTAAAAACACTTAGAGGGGCGCCTGGGTGGCTCAGTTGGTTAAACGTCTGCCTTTGGCTCAGGTCATGATCCCAGGGTCCTGGGATCAACCCCTCATTGGGCTGCCTTGTCAGCGGGGAGTCTGCTTCTCTCTCTCCCTCTGCCCCTCCCCCAGCTTGTGCTCTCTCTCTCTCTCTCTCTCTCTCTCACTCTCAAATAAAATCTTTAAAAAAACACTTAGAAATACTGAAATGT